GTTTTCTTTCCTTCCCATGAAAATCGCTCGTTGCATCAGTGAAAACCAACTTTTTATAGTGATCATTCAATCTTTATATGATTGAACCTTGTCCACTCGCCAGTGACCTTAACCTAAATATGCGAGTAGCCATCGTAAATGGTATATATCTTAATCTGTCATTAAACACCCCAATTATGACACATTGTGTTCGACAATAAATGTTTCTCTTGTTTAGTTTTCACTATACTGAATCGAATCATAGTACAAAACTATAATGGGTGTTAGTTAAGCGATGCATGAATAATTAAATTATGAACTTGCTATCAAGTGCTCTATCGCCTTTTATGTTGATTCTTCGCTATCTTGAATCGCCCTTAGCTGGTCGGCCCGTCGTGCTATTGTTCAGCGCCTGTTTGAAATCAGGAAAAGAAGCTGGAATGTCTAACACACAAACGAATAATTCACTTCCATACGGGGAAGAAGAGGAAATTCCATCTCATATTTATCCTAAACAGTGGACCATTGTAGCAAAAGTATTCCTGTTTGTTGAAACTTTAGAGTCATTGCAATAATTTGTATGAAATTTCAACGCAGTCATTGCAATACTCCTCACTCTCCGAATGTAAAAAATTGCTTCTAGGTGGGTCCTAGAAAACCGCTGTTCGTTGTTTTTTTTGCGATTCGTTGCCAGCATTCTTGTTTGATTCCAGCGTAACGCAAATTGAATCTGTCATGAGTGTACGTCTCAGNTCTTCGAACCAAAAAAAAGTATTCATAAATTACGAATGCATCAGTACATTTTCTAATATGGCATTAATCATTCAACATCATCACTGTCAGTCACTACACTTTAACATGTAATGAATTCAGATTGAATCGATAAAAAATTTCACACATTCAATTTCATTGCATCAAACCACACCAGCAGATTATTTTTCGTCGTATGAAACTGTTGTGTTTGGTTGTCATAGTGATGTCGGTTTAGTATTATTCCAATTTTGAATATGTATATATTTGTGTAAGCATTAGGTAGAATTTTAGTTTTGTTATACGGTTGGTTGTATAAGTGAGAGTATGTTTAATGCATTCAGCACGATCACATTTTCATCAATCATTCAATAGCGCCTCAATGTTTGTTAGCGTATTAATTCGGCTTGTTCTTTAACGTTTCACTCGAAGAGTAGGCTCGTTTAGACCGCTAAACGTACTCGGTTATTCTGATGAGGCTGATGTAACAACGTCGAGATTGATAACAACAATAATTATTTTCGATGATAATGCAAATGAGAATGAATATAT